AAATCCAGATGTGTGAACAGTTACCACAATTGGGCATAAAAGTGGATGTTTGCAGCACTTTAATTGCAACTCTGCTTTCAGGACATCTGGAAACAAGACATCCACTAATAGCAGTGTTTTATAATAAGCTTACAGTAGAATATAAAGCCCTGAGTTGTAGGAAAAGTGCTCATGAAATATGCTGCTCCCTGAGAAAATGGAGCAGGCCAGCAGAACTGCAGCTATTGGGTTTTTCTCTTAACGTTCGTATCATGTGTTGCTACTTGCCTTGGTTTGAAGGAGATCCATCACAGGTACATGGAGTGCAGTCTGAACTCATCAGTGGCTCCACTGGTATCACTGGGGTCAGGATTTCATCCATAACTTTGACTGCCACCACTGCCTCTGAAATTAGTACTTCTTGGATATGTATCACTTGCATAAAATGGGCTTAAGCCCACTTTTACACTCAGGACAACATTCAGTCTGTGTCCTGCTCCGACTTGTGCTGTATCCCTGATAACCCAGCTCTGGCTGCAGTGCACCTTGTGACATCCCCCTAGAAGAAAACTTTCTTGTTCTTAGAGGTTGTCAGGGTGGGTGTTTTGATGGTGATGCAATACTTGCATTATTGTAGGACCCTCAGGCCATGCTCCAGGGTCACGGCATCATTTTTGAGGTAGCCCATGTGGATTTCAAACAACAAAATGCCTCCCTAAAGCTTTTAGATTAAGCGTAACAATGATCGGTGAGCAGAGGTTACCCCATTTCATGCAGTGTTTCTTTGCTTTTTTACTAGTAGATTTCTAGTTCTTTGTCATCCTCTCTGAGTCTGTAAGAAGAGATATCAAGGTTTTGGTCCTGTTGTAGTCATGATATCTGTGATGTCAAATGATGCTCATAAGTGTTCTGTTCTTCAGCGAGGTCTTTCTCTAGCTATTTATTCCACTAATAACTCTTAATTGTTGACTTCTGCCTTATGGCCCTGTAATGACAAAGCAATCATCAAGGTATATTGAAAAATTAACATAAATTTGCATCTCCCAGTGTTTGTTTTCTGTTTTGTCCAATTCATGAATATTCTTTTCATCCTCCATCTAATTAGGGATTTAATTCAGTGCATACTGGGGTGGGGTTTTTTGCATCGGCAAAACTGAGTGGTTTGATACAGGCTGAATTGGGGATGAGAGGGGAAAAGAAAAACTATTTCTAGACTTAACAGATATGGTTAAAAATCTTTTCTCGTGCAAATTCACATCCTTCCCGTGTTTTCCAGGGAAGAAGTGTATGTTTTAGACCCTGATAAAGAGTTTTATTGGTTGGATTGGAAAGTGAACCATTTTTTCACCTGTATCAAGTGAAGGATGGTGAACTGCAGAGGTTTTGTGTATTTTCCCAGGACTGTAACTTGCAGAAATTAGAACAAGATTTACCAGTAACTGTGTAAGCACATTTGGTCAGTAATTCTGGAAGCTGTAATTCAGCAGTATTTCTCACCTCCTGCATGGAAACACAGAAGAAGCTGGGGGGATGAAGCACGTGGTGGAGGTTGCACAAATAGAGTTTCAGCAAACCTGGGAAAGGTGGAGAGGAGAAAGACAAGCAGCAGGTTTGCATGGGGCTATGCTGTTGGATTGGGAAGGACTTTGGGTTATGCTGTTAACTGGCCTCTTCCTTTACTTTTTTGGCAGTGTTAAAAATTAGGAGATACGCCAAACAACTGAGTTTAAAACATCATGCTGAAAGAGTAAATGAGCTCTCCTCAGTGAATTTCCAGTGAATTAGCATCCTGCCCTTCTGCCTGAGTCTACTGTAGGCTTTTCTCCAGGTGTAACCACACAGGAACCTATTAGTGTTCCAGAGCTGGAAAAGATTTGTCAGCATTCGGAGCTGAGGCCAAAGGGCACCTATGGTCAGATGTCGTTTTCTGCTGTTGCAGTGGGCTTAACCCCAGCACGGGCTGCAGCCCTGGCACAGGGCAGCGGCACCAAACCTGCTTGGGTCTGCTGAGCTCACCTTGTGGGTTGTGCCTATGTCACGACAAAAGCCTGTGGTAACAGACAAGTTTCTGTCATTTCATTTGCTTTCAATGAATGCCTTTAACGGATAAGCCTAGTTGGGAATAACGTGTATTTTCCATTGTACAGCTGGTTAAATCTGATTGCAAACTATTGAGGCTTCCCCCCGTTCAGTTCTTCCTTGCCATCCACCGCAGTGGCTGACATTAAATACACTTGTGCGTGGTCTCGGTGCAGGGCAGTGACAGACAGCACTGACATTTGCAGGAGTTGAACACTTGTGTTTCAGACCTGCAAGCTAAAGGACACCAAACCATTGTTCATGCAGGAGTCATGGTAATGAAGCTGTTCCTGCAACATCTGCATTTATTTTCATTCTACTGTCACATGCGGTAGAAGCTGCTTGAGCTGCTGCTGTTACCAGATACTCTTACATGGAAATATAAAACCATTGAAGTTCCTATTGATCTCTGAATTGTCAAGGGTGGTGCTCTATTGGAAAGAGGTACATAACATATTTGAGCACTCTTGGAAATGGAAATCAATCTCACAATTCATAAATTCCATCTGGCTAGAATAGTAGCAGAGCAAAGTGCCAGTTATGATTTCAATGAACTAATATTTCATGTAAACAGTATAATGTGGATTTGGAGCACATAAACATAATGCTGTAATGGGGCTTTCTGAAGAAAAGTCGTCTTAGCTTCTTACCACTAAATCTGTCACCTGCCAGGGCATGGGATCAGGTTAGATGAAGCACAGGTCCACAGCTCAGCCAGCTCATGGCTAGAGGCTGGGACCAGCACAGCGTCTGTACCGGTGGGACTGGGAGCACGCACTGCCATTGGCTCTGCGGAGGGGTGCGTGATGCTAGTGTGGCACGGTGGAGCAGGACAAGCTCTGCCTCCTGTTACATGGCACATCAGCATTGTTATTGGCATCTGTTGCTCTAATTGTCATTGAAAGAGCTGACTCTTCGCAATCCCAAAATAAGTGCCTGAAAGTCTGCATTCTGCTTCTATCAGCTGCATGCTTTTGCCAGAAAGGAGGAGTAAATCACCAGCTTAAAACTAAAATGGGGTTCTGGGGAGGATTTCCTTGTCAGGCACGATGGAGGCTGCGATCACTTTCACATTAGTACTTTGTTCTGTGCCTTACCTCTGCGGGGTGATGCATGGCGGGGCAGCAGAGCTGCGAGGAGCACACCAGCAGCACGCTGGGTCTTACTGCTCCCCGCACACACCCAGCCTGCTTTCCACCATGTGAGAGATGAGCACGTTGAGAGGTTTCTGTCCTGCTGGCATCACGGAGCAGCCTGGAGACAGGAGCCATGAGGTGTGAGGCCGTTCTGCTGGAAGCAGAGGGCTCAGCTTCTGGCACTTTCAGAGCCTTTCCACCAGCTGAGCCAGGTAGGGACAGCGGCGGCCTCTGGAGCATCTGGCAAGGCAGCATCTGCGTGGGGAGAGCAGGTTTCTTAGGTGGAAGAGAACATGGAATGAAGAATCTAAACCAGGTGAGGGAAGTCTTGATCCATGGCAAGAACCACCCCAGGAACTTCCAAGATCCAAAACAAAGAACCTCGTTGGAATCCTGCAGACCATGTTTTGTGCCCTATGAATTGTCGTTTTCGGTAATCAGTTTCTGTAACTGTGTGTGATAGTAAATGTCCAAGGAAGACTGTGGTAGGTGATAGGGCACAGTGCTGTGTCCTGTCGCCAGGAATGGTGCACAGGCACTTTTGGAATCGTAAAGATGCTGAATTCAGTCCGGAGTGGAGCCGGGCATGCATGCATTAACATACTGATGAGCTGGGGCTAGGAATTCCCGCATTTTTAGTACCACTGAGGCATCATTTGTCAAATGATTTAAAGGGGGGTTTATTATTATTATTAGCCAATTTTTCAATACAGAATTTATATTCCAGATTAACATGTTAATTAACATGCCACAATAAAATACTTAGGTCTCAAATTTTCTGGCCACCGATCTGAGCGTATATCAGTCACTTTTTGGAAATCTGGAGAATTAGATAATGTAAATAAGATTTCAAATTAGCTTTCCTCCAGGAAAGCCCTGAATTTACAGTAGCGTGGCTGTTACTTTACGGATTACTAGCTTTGACTTTAGAACTGAATACATCATGAGAATACTGATGGGAAAGTACAGAATAGCTTAACTTTAATTTTGAAGCCATGAACATCCATACAAGTGAAGGATATTTTGCCTCCCTACATGTTCTGCGTGGAGACCTTGCTGTTAACGGCATCCCCCTGTCCTGCTTGCCGCACTTTTAAAGGGCAGGAGTTTCCAAGCTCCTCTCCAAAGGCATCCACAGAGGCAGGCCAGGCCATCAGCACCTCGTGTCCGTTCAGTCCCTTGGAACCTCCATTTGGAGCAGCAGCAAAACCTGCCAAGCACGTTCTGCATGGATAGAAATTACAGTTACACTTTAATTTTGATTGTCCTGCTTGTAGGAAGTGAAAGGCCTGGTTCCGAGTGTGTTTCATAGCATCATTGCTGCATCCTTTTGTATTTCCCTGTGGCGATGTTTCCCTTTGCTGTAAGCAAGTGGGTAGGTTTGGGTGACGTTTAGGGGAGAGGTGGTTGGCGTGGCCTTTTGTTTTAAATATAACACTTCTCTTGCGTGTGAGATGATTATACAGTGAATAGTTACATAAAGTAGTCCTAATGTGGTAGTTTAACTGAAATACAGTCTTGGGCTGAACGGGAGCTAACTAGCCATTTGATAGATTTTTGCATTTCCTGCAGTGGGGATGTGATGGGAAAAGGAACTTTATTGACTGGAGTTCAGCTGCTCCTGTAAGCCACCACTTGCCTTAAATTGAAATGACATGAGAAGCCTGTCAGCGTTTCATTACTTCCTTCTGTTGTGCTGATGGTATGCTAAGATCACCATCTGTGTTTTTCTTCTGTCAGGCACACAGGCTCTGCTGTAACTTTACAGGAATATTCTGAACAGGTTTTTTTTTCTTATCTTTGCAGGTCATGCAATATTTAAACTTACATATCTAAGCAATCATGACTACAAACACCTTTACTTTGAATCAGATGCTGCTACTGTCAATGAAATTGTACTGAAGGTAAGTATTAAATTTTAACGTGACCCAAAATCCTGGGTGTTTCAGCACTTGTTAGACATGAAAGTGTTCAGGAGGCTCTGGAATACATGAACAGTGTAGCGCCTGAGGACCACTAAGGTGTGTTTAACTCGCCAGGCTACCTCCCTGGTGCCTATTGTTTTATTCATTATTCAAACAGCCATACAGCACACTGCCTACTTGTGTATAAATATTTCCTTTTATACTTGTTCCTAGTTAAGAGAGACACCCCTTTCCTGTGGAATTTTACAGGAAACTGCCTAATTTCATTGTGTCCACATCGTTTCCACCCCCAGACATATGAGATGGTCTGCAAGCAATGTCATGGCGGTGCTGTGCCCCAGGACCTGCATCCTGCACAGCACCATGGTGCTGCTGTGTGGCTGCTGCACAGCATCCAGCCACAGAGACCCAAGCAGGGCTCCCAGCTCATGTAAGCACCAAACTGGGACCACAGGGAGCTGCAGGAGCAGCCACCCTGGTCTGCAGGGAGCTGCTGTGGAACTTGGCAGCAGCACAGGAGGCTAAGCAGAGATCCTGGCACCACGGGGGCTCTTGGAGCTGGAGTCAGTGTTCAGGGTTCCAGCAAAACTGATGTTCAAGGCCATGGGTTGATGCTGGGTTGGCAGCTCCAGCACCGGCTCAAGCAGCGGCAGTGGCAGTGGCGTGGCCAGCACAGTGCTGCTTTCCTGCCTTCCATGCATCTTTTCCAAACGCAGATGGAAAGCAGAAAGGTTATTTTTCTCACCATGATACTTGATCACAGTTGTTTGCTTTTCTCGTGGCTTGTCCATACACGTACTTTCTGAAACAAATTTTTCCAACAGTGTTGGAAGATTAAACTCAATTTTCCACAAGCTAATATTTTACAGCAATTCAGATCTGAAAAGCAGTAACTTTGGCAAACCATCTGTTATCTTTGCTTTCGTTTCTGTGTGGAGTTTAGAGGATTGCTAAATAACTGACATACGATACAACCATTTTTATTAATGCCGTAGAAAGTGAATGTATTTGGGAGGGTTTCGACTTTGTGAACTGTTGGGGCAATTCTTTTGTTCCTACTTTATGTTAAATAAGCTGATGTAATCCAGAACACCTTGACACATCTGAAAGTGGTCATAAAAGAAGGCTGAAAAAGGGTTGCTTTGAATAACATGAATATTCAAGAGAGAAATACTACTGACCAGCACTTTTTGTCTTAAGTTGCAGGTTGTTTCTATAGAACTTTTCTGGTTTCATGCATAAGTTACCAGTTTGTTTTCGATGCCATCAGCATTAGGAGAGGTGGAGAAATCAGACTTTTCAAATTAGGCTTTTTACATGATCAAGTGAGAAAGACTGAGGCTTTATTGACCATGAAAATTCCCTATATTTTTATGCCTTAAGCTGTAATATGCAATGAAAGTGAAACACTCTACAGTGCATAAAATTGTGCAAGTTTTAAGCCACAGCATATTAACCAGCTAATGGCAGACCAAAGGGCATTTTTATCTTTTTGATTCTTGCATTAACCTTCCATTAAAATTATCTATGTGATTATCACAAAGCACTGGAGATAATAAATTTAGGGAATAGCAGGCTTGTTAAATATCATTTAAAAATGCTTTCATCAAGTAAAATGTGCCAAAACACAGGGAAACTATGAGATTAGCTGAGTACGCAAACATCATAATGAAAGAATTACTTTTATTGAAGCTGATAAAGTCTTTTATTGAAGCCCATTACTGTGTTAGACCAGCACTGTGGGTCTTCACAACCTGCTGTGTTAACCCAGAGGCTGGGTGATAAGGGTGGGATGAGGGGAGAGGGATGCTCCTGAGCCAAGCCGAGGGCTGCAGAGGGAGAGCTGGAAGTGGCCGTGCGCTGAGTGGGGCTCTCCAGGAGCTGTCTCTGCCGTGGTTTTGTTGCCAGCCCACTGGGGCCAGTTTCACTAGAGCCTCGTGCAGTTGGTGGCATGAGGGCTGCTGCCTCCTGAAGCACCAACAGAGTTAAACACCGTTTCATGTCTTGCAGGTTAACTATATACTCGAGTCGCGAGCAAGCACAGCCAGAGCAGATTATTTTGCTCAGAAACAAAGAAAACTGAGCAGGAGAACAAGCTTTAGCTTCCAGAAGGAGAAGAAGTCGGGACAGCAGTGACACTGAGCCTCGAGGAGAGCCTGACGGCCGCGTTGGGAGGAGGAGGAGATGCTCCCCACCGCCCAAGACAGGTGGGAGCCAGGACTGCGGAGCTCCTGCTGCCCACGGGCAGGAGCAGCGGGGAGATACCTGCATTATCCCGTCTCTCACGGCTGGCAGATTATCCCTCGGTGGTGATGGGAAGTCTCCCCTGTGACAAAAATAAAGAGCCATATCAGCCGGAAAGAAGACTGTTACGCTTCAGGTTCCTTTGATTAGAAATAAGAGAATGACGTAGACTGGCATCATTTAATTACTGTATTATGTACAATCACAAGGAGAGATGTGATTACATAGTATTTCACAGCCTGGTTAAAATAAATTATATACATCTGTAATACACCCACGTACACACAGGTATTGCTTGTGACATGATCAAATTTCTAAAAACAAAATGTAGGACAAATGTATCCATTTTTACTATTAATAAACAGATGTAATCTTTTTCAAGGTCCATATGATGCACAGTTCTTTGGGGGGGAGGCTGTAGTCCCAGATGGTTTCACTTCTGTTGCTGAAGTGCAGGAGGCAACCGTGAGCCAGGGAACAGCAGCCATTGCAGGGGAGGCCATTTGTGAAGTGACACTGAGACAGTCGAGTCTGTCATGGGTTGTTTTGTTCAGAAATGCTTTTATTTAACTGTGCTTTTCAGCTCTGCATACACGTTATCAGAGGTCACTGCCTGTGGTCAGCACGTTTTGAAACCCAAGGCAGTGTCTTCATGATTGAAGCAGGAGCATCCTTTTGTCCACAGGAGCGCGCTGGGATCTGCCCTTCCTCACTGGGATCTGCACCTGAGGACTGAGAAATGCCTTCACTTAATATTATTCCTAAATAATAAACATTAAGACCTGCTTTGTACTGGGATTTGTAACTGTTCTGGCCTTGTCCATCCTTAGTGCATCAGGGAACACATTAATGGGATTGCTGGGAATCAGAGCTGCGGGTTTGGTCCAGTTCACCAGAGGTGTCTTTCCTAAATCTCTCAAGCTCTCTGCACAGCTCCTGTGGATTTAGTACCAAGAACATGCCCGCAGCAGGCTGCAGGTCCTGGGGCAGAGCAGGCTCCCTCCTGCCTCCCAGCACAGCCTCTTACAGCCTCTTACCCTGCTTTTGTATAGAGAAAACTTGCTGAGCCTTAACGCGTCCTTTAGGCATTAACACTGGGGCAGAGAGGGCTGTTTGACACTTACCTGTCGCGTTTGACTGCTTGGTATTTAAAGGTTACCCCTCCTGGCGCTGGTGTGGGTGTCGCTGCTGCCCCGAGGGGGGCCCTGCCCGCACCACGGAGGCCGGTCTCACTGTACAGTCTTCCATGATACCTGCAGAGCAGGAGAAACGATATTTTATAGTGTGATATTCAACTTTTTTTATCTTTTATATGTGCAAACGCAGCACAGATGCAATGGGGAAGGACCCTTCAACTAATGCAATGTAAATGACTCCTTTTCCAACTTTGTGAACTATTTAACATTAAAGTTGTTACGTGAATGTTCTTTTGCCACCCAGTTTCAATTCTTTTTAACTGAACTAAACTGAACCTACAGAAGTCTCCTACTTCTTTCCATGGCTGCAATGCTGTTGCCACCTAATTATTTATTATAAGTAGGTATTCACTATGTGGAGCATTTTGCTTTCAGTAAAGCCCAGAGATTCACCTAATAAAATACCCTCTGCTGTCTCAACTGTGGTAACATTTGTGGGCTCATGCTCACTTGCCCGGACCATGTGCACCTACACCATGTCATAAATCACCTTCCATGTGATGTGTTTGTATTGCAGCTTCCCCATGGAGCCAGGACATGCAGCCTGTCCAGAGGGAGCACAGCAGGGATGGGACACTGCTGCTGGAGGATGCTCAAGGGCTTGGTGGGGAGTGGACAAGGTGTGGAGCCCAGAATGAGCTTATTTGCTCTGAAAGAGCCCTTGACAGCTGAGAAGTGAATTTAAAGACCAGCTTCAGTTGAATACCTGGTGTGAAGGCCTTAAACTCTGGTAATGTCCCCTCCCTCAGAACAGACTTCTCTGGTGTTCAGTGTTTGCTGAAAGAGTTAAATCCAAGCTCATGGTTGCAATCTGTGCGCAGCTGAACACAAATCCATCCCGGGCTGGTCTTTCCCCGGTAGTTGTAGATTTAATTGATTCAGATGGGCATTCAACTGGGTCAGAAAAGCAAGCTGTTCCTTCCGTGCCTTGTTACAGGCTCTGGCAGGAGAGGGTGGCTGCCGCTCATATAACAAGGATGGTTCCTTAGTGCCCTGCATCGAGGCACCAGAGGGTTTCTGCCTCTCCCTTACTTTGGGTGCTGGACCTGGCTTGCCGGTGCACCTGAGGGTTCACCATTCATTGCACCTTATAGAACCAAACGTAGGCTTGCCCTTGTCACAGGCACAGGGAGAGGCAGGGAGCATCACAGCGAGTGCCACCAACCACACAGAGAGGCTTCCCTCCCGGTACCATCAGCCCCGGGGGACTCGTGCCCCTGGGCTGCCCGCAGCCGGTGCTGCCCAGGGCTGTCACTCACTGCCCTCCTTGCCCAGGCAGTGTTGCTCGGAGGAGCCCGGATCCAGCAGGACACGGGTGCCCTTTGCAGTGAGACCCTGGGGTGCCTCCTTGTGCTTCAGGAGCGGCTGAGCCTGTGCTTGGGAGATCTGTGGATGAATAGACCAGCCGATGAGCGGCTTTGCTGGCTCAGGAGCAGGCGGTCCGGTGAGGGTGGCCAAGGCTGCTGCTGCAATGGAGATGAGCCCTCATCACCTCCTTGGGTTCATCAGTATTGAGAAACCTTTTATCAGAGGGCACCCAGGCCTGTGCTGGCACCCAGGCAAGAGTCTGAGCTTCCCAGTGCTCTGCAGGGGTTTGCCATGAACTCTGCTGGAGCAAAAGGAGTCAGAGGCTCCTTTGGGTTTAGGTTGATGGGAGCCTGGCGCATCCCAGGGTCTCTTGTAGCTGACTCACAGGTAATGGTGGCAGAGCTGGGATCCGCTCAGGAGCAGGAGGCAAAACCCATCGCACATCCCTGCGAGCAGCCCTGAGATGAACGGGGGGGGTTATTTATGGAGCCGTGTTTGTAATGGGCCCATGAATTTCATGGAGACGCGCTGCTGCGGTGGCTGCGCTATTGGGTGCTGCTGCTGCTGCTGAAGTTAATGCCCCTTAAATCACACCCCAGTGCAGGCTGGGACAAGGACAGAGACGAGGACAGGGATGTGCGGGCACAATGGGCACAAGGGTGCTGGGTGCTGCCCCTTACCCAGGGCCACTGAAGCAGCTGAGCCATGGGGAGGGCTGGCACCATGCACAGCCCGGTGCTGCCGCACGAAGGGTTAAGCTCTGTCATGGTTTATTCTCCCCACACACCTCTACTTAACTGCAAAGAGGAGAGAGGGGAAAGAAAGGATCTCAACAGGGTGTTGTTCGCTCTAAAAACCCTAAGCATGATTTGTGAACTCTCACAGCCTTGGTAATCTCATCAGAGTAATGGGATTATATTTCAAATCACCGTGGCCTGTTCATTACACGTTTAAACTCCTTTGACAGAGGAAAAAGTTAAATAAAACGTGTGCGTCAGCCCTGGTTGGCTTTCCCGGTCCTCTTCCCTGATTACCCAAACAGATGCCGGGCTCCGGAATGAAACAATAATGCGCTCATTTATCCCCGTTTCTGACAAGCCGCAGTGGATCGTTAACTGCAAACGAGCCCCTGCCCGGGCGGGGAGCGCGGGGGCAGCGCGGGACGGGCTCCGCGCTAAACCAGCGCTCAAGCGGTGCCTTCCGCACCGGAGCGCGGTGGCGGGGATGGAACTCCCGCAATGCCCGCGCCGCCCCCGCCCGCTGAATCTCTCCAAGGAGCTCGGGAGCGGCTCCTGCGTTCCTGCTGGGCAGCCGCGAGCGGGGAGAGCCCCGACCACGGGCACCCGCTGAGGCTTCTGCTCACCCAGAGCCCACCTGAGAGCTGCTGCCACGGCCATGGTGGCTCCCAAGGCACAGCCCCGCTGAGCTCCTCCTGCTCTGAGCACCGCAGCTCCCATCATCTGACCCTACATCTGCCCCCAAACTGACTTGTCCATGAGCATCGTGGGGGGGAGCGGCTGAGCTCGGACCAAGTGTGGTGTCCCATGGGACTTTGCCATTGGAATTCAGCCCTATTCCCGGGAACTGCTGATGAAGAAGCTCATGGGGAGGCACTGAGGCTGCCAGCGGGCAGGGCTGTGCTGTGCTGAAGAGGAGGGCTTCACATCGGGGAGCGCTGGGGGCTCTATTAGGGAGCTGAAATGCCAGATAATTAGAAATACACCAGCAAACACCGTTATTGTCAGGAGAATGCAGTTGCATCCAGTAATGAAGCGATTATTAATGAGCAACTGCAAGGCTGTCATCAATTTAAGCTTTTCAGGATCACAGGCTAAGGCAAGTTAAATGTTAACACAGAGCTGGGGCCGGGCTGAGCGGGGCTTTTCCCCGTTATGGGGTTGAGCAGAGCAGGGCCGTCTTCTTGCTTCCATCCCTATGCAGCCATAGGAGCACAGGGAACTCCTTCACCGCTGGGGCAGCCGGGGCCACGGGATGGGGACAAGGATGGGGTTGTGGAACCCCCCCCCCACGCTGCAGCGGCGTGGTGGAGGCGCCGGTGGCTCCATGGCACAAGCGCTGTGCGCGTTTGGGGCCGGTGCAGCCGGAGCGGCTCCCGCACCAGCGCTCAGCCCCGCGCCGCAATCTGTCACGGCGGCTGGGGCTCGCCGGCTCTGCAATATGTACCTCATGTCTGGGCTGTCATCGGACATAATTCCTCCCTGCTGGCATATTGCTGATTTGTGCATAAGTGATGCATGCAATCCACCTGAGCTAGGAGTCAGGGGTTTCTTGATCTGGGGCTGTCAGGGCAGAGTGTTTTAGTGCCTCCTGCGATTAGCTGGAATTGACAGGCCCTGAGAGCGGGGAATTGCACAACAGGGGAATTAACAGCCAGGGACTGGAGTGGAGTGTGGCACTCGTTTAATCTGCAATTTATCAGTTTGCGCGGCTTCTTGTCGCAGGAGGAAGATTGCGCTCCAAAGGAGAAGGCTCCCTTTTTCCTTTGATATTCCCCTGATGGGAGAGGGATGGACAGTACTCGGATGCTGACGTCTGCTGGCTCCTGATGGGTTACCAGCCTGTGTTTTGCAGGGGGTACCAGTACGGAGGTGAGAACATCCCCAGCACGGGGCCACGGTTGCAGGGACCCCCATCCCAAACCCCAACCCCATCCCCAACTTCCTCTCCTGAGCTCTGCCTCTGCAGGCTAGCCGGACCCCCCTCTGCTGTGAGGCCACCACAGCCACCTCAGCATCACATCCAACCTGCGCCAGGGTGATGGTGCAAAGGCTCAGCAGCCCCTTCCCAATGCTCCCTACCCCAGCATGTCCCTGCCTTTCCCTCTCCCCATCCCCATCACACAGATGTTCCC